CCTCGGAAACCCAAGGAGGGGTTGCTATGAGTCAGGGCTGACTCGTCGGCACATAACAACAACAACAACATAGTGACAGTCTAATTACATAAGAATGGGACCAGCTGAGGGGTGAATAAACCTTCCCTAAAGCAGTGGTATCAAGAGTGAGTTACTTCCATAACAAAAGCCTGCAATGTTGGGGTGGCTTTAGAATTGGGCAGTGGACAAAAGCTGGAATGACTTGAAGAGAGTGTAAGTGAAAGCTTGAGAATTCTTGAAAAAATTATTGGAAGAATCGGAATAGCCTTTGAGGAGCCTGCAGGTAAGGGTTTAAACATAAATGAGGAAAAAGGTATTGACAACTGGAGAAAATATGGTCCTTAGAAAGTCTTAGGCGCTCTGGTGGTGTAGTGCCTAAGGCATTTGACTGCTAACCAGAAGACTGGCGGTTCAAACCCACCAACCAGTCCTTGGAAGGAAGATTGGGCAATGTACTTCCGTAGAGATACTGCCTCGGAAACCCAAGGAGGGGTCGCTGTGAGTTGGATCCCATTTTAATAGTTCCATCAGCTTCTGCCTCTAAACACCCCTGCACAGAGGGCTCAAAAGATTGCAAAATGTCAGATATTGAATTGCACGGTATGATAGTTTAACTTTTTGTCAGGCAAAATTAAGACCAAACAACAAAAATAATGAAAATTACAAGACAGCTTCCCAATAACCTTGGACACAAAAATGTCCTTTTAAGGCATTAAAAAAATGTTTTTATTGAAAGATTTTCTAAATGTGCTAACATTATGTGTATGGGGACTAAATTGTTTCCTTTGAAGCCTGGGGAGGTGGAAATAAATAAGCAAAGAACACTATTTACTAGGTATACTAATGCTTATGTTTAAATTGTCATTTGTTTTTCACCGACTATAGTGCCTTAGTCCCTGTATGGAATGCAGACATAAAAATAATTTCCAGGGAAATGAACTGGAGAAAAACAGAAATGTGTATGTAATTGGAACAAAACTAACTTTCTGGTTTTCCTTTCAACACTCTATAGAATTGTTCTGAGGTTAAAAAACAAAAGGTTTCTAAAAAATAAGTATCTAACAAAAGTTGCACAGAGATTAAGCAAACATTGTCCATGGAGACATTAACAAGTATTTTAAATATTTTTTAATCCCATTCCATCCACTGGTAGTTTTGTGGAGATCATCTGGTCATCCTAGCTAAAAAAATCATCTAAGAGAATCAATTGAGAACAATTGCCATCCCACCCCCCTCCATTCTTCTCAACTACACCTCAGCTTCCCCTCCCCACTAGATTAAGATGAACTTCTCTCCCAAATACAAAGCAAAGCTCTTTTTTTAAAGAGAGACACAGATGAAGGGCACAGGTGGCGGAGGGGTCGCCTATAACACCAGCAACCAGCCAAAAATGCCCTGTTTAAAATATTAAAAAAAAAAAAAAAAAATTCAAAGAGTCACTGTAAGTACTAAATACAACTTACCAATAATAATAGTTAAAATTTAGTGGGCACGTCTAGAGGGCTGGAACCTTTACTTTAATCCCCAAAACAACCGCATAAGGTAGGTATTATCATCATCTCCACTGTACAGGTTTTAAAAAAACAGTGGAAAACAGTGATAAATTAACTTGCCCGTGGCCACAAAGCTAATAAGTAGTGGTACTAAGATTTGTGGGGGCCCCAGAGTGGATCTTCCAAGTGGGCTTTTAAGGAGTCACCTAAGGATCCAGTCCAATTCTTGGCACTTTAGTATTGCTCAATAAATAACAGTTCCCTTTCTTTCTCTTAAGCAGCCCAATCTAATTCCATAGGGGCTCATTACTTAAAGAAAAATGACATACAAACTGGAACTCTCACTGGACAAATACTGTCTCTTCCCACCTCACTTCCCCTGACTTCTCAGGCTAACCCGAGGCAGGCTGTCAGAAAAGGGCACGGAGGTTAACACCGCTGTATCTCTGAGTCCCTCGAAGGTAGGAATGTAAACAGACTTTGCAAACAGACAAAGCATAGTACTGCTTCTGACCGAAAATGTTTGTTTGTTCAGTCTGACTCAGGTTCCCAGAGCCTAGGAGAACAAACACAACCCTTCCCCGACCTCTGGAAATCCCCCGCGGCCACAGTCAATCTGGTAAACACTCTTGCCCTGGCTCCTTGGAGGACATGCAGCAGTGGGGAACAGTGACGGGAGGCGACAAATTGGAACGAGGGAGATTTAAATACACACGGACACCGGCCTAGTTGCCTTGAAAAGTCAGGTTGACACCTCCAGGGAGCGAGTGGGGAAGGCGGGGCCCAATTCCCGCCACCGGAGTGAGCTGGAGGCCTTGATCCATCCTCCTCCTCCCAGGGATGCTGAGGACCCGTCTGGCAGAGCTGAACTCCGCGGGCCAGGCAGAAAAGGGCCATTGCCACTTTAAATGACTCAGGAAGTGAAAGGAGGCCGCCTGACAGTGGAAGGAAAAGTGGAACCGGGGCGGCGGCCACGATCTCGCCCGGGGCCGTGGGAGGCCCAGCGGGCTGCAAAGCGCGGGCGCCTTGGGGCGCGGGAACGCGCGGGGAGGCTGCCGGGCGCCGTGCCGGAAGTGCCCGGGACTGCAGAGGAAGCGCAGCGGTGCGCAGAGCAGGGCAAACCGGTGGGAAGGCCGCTTGCTCCTCGGTTCGGACACGGGCTGCCGGGAGCAGGCGGCGGCCGCGAGCGCGGCCTCAAGCCCTACCCCAAAGCAAGGTGCAGCCCTGACAGGCATCGATTCCCCAGAAAGGTCGGGGGAAGAAAGTGAGGAGACCGCGCAAACGCGCCGAGCTTGGAGGCCCTGGTGCCTTGGCGGTGTCCCAGCACCCACATGGCCTCGGGAGTGGGCGCGGCCTTCGAAGAGCTGCCTCACGACGGCACGTGTGACGAATGCGAGCCCGACGAGGCTCCAGGTGCGGAGGAAGTGTGCAGAGAATGTGGCTTCTGCTACTGCCATCGCCACGCTGAGGTGCACAAGCAGAAGTTCCTCAGTCACCACCTAGCGGAATACATCCATGGCGCTGGGGCCTGGACCTCGGGAGCCAAGCGGGAGGGCGAGGGGCAAGACAAAATTGAAGGCAAGGCGGAGAATGAGACTGAGATAGAAAGCGAAGCGGGGGAAGAGAGTGAGTCCGACGAGGAGAGTGAATCAGAAGAGAGCGAGATCGAGGAGGAGAGTGAGGATGACAGCGTTGAGGAGAGTGAAGAAGACAGCGAGGAAGAAATGGAGGATGAACAAGAAAGCGAGGCAGAGGAGGACAACCAGGAAGAAGGAGAATCTGAGGCTGAGGGAGAAACAGAGGCTGAGAGTGAATTCGATCCAGAAATAGAAATGGAAGCAGAGAGAGTGGCCAAGAGAAAGTGCCCGGATCATGGGCTAGATTTGAGCACCTATTGCCAGGAAGATAGGCAGCTCATCTGTGTCCTGTGTCCGGTCATTGGGGCTCATCAGGGCCACCAGCTCTCCACCCTAGACGAAGCCTTCGAAGAACTAAGAGTAAGTATTGGGTATTAAGAGCATAGGCCTAGTGGTCAGGACACTTTGGTATCAACTCAGGTGGCTTAGCTGTGGACACATTCACTTCTACCTGCCCCTAAAAAGCTATTCAGATGGTTGGGGAGCAGTGTTTTTCCACTCTTGCTGGCTGGACCCCTTTGAAAATCAGATGAGAAAGCTTTGGATCATCACCCAAGAAAAATACATGTATACACAAAATCTAGTACAATTTATGGAAAATTACAAGTCTCTAGTCTGTGGATCCCAGATAAAAGCATTCCTTGGGAGCTTAGAAACCAGCTGCCAGTAGAGTTGATTTTGATTACGGTGATCCCATGTGTGTCAGTAGAATATGCTCCATAGGGTTTTCAGTGGCTGCTTTTTCAGAAGTAGATCATCAGGTCTTTCTTCTGAGGTCCCTCTTGGGAGCTTGGATTCCACTTAAATATTTTCCACCACATCACCATAGTTACATCTCTGCCTCCTTGAAAAAATGGGAAGCTGATTGGGCCCAATGAACCCAAGCAGCTGGCATCTCTATAGTGACTAAGATAGTGGTTTTTACAATAACTTCACGTGTGCCCCTAGTTCTTTATGGGTTCATATTTGAAACTAGATAGGTAAGAAGACTGAGAAAAACCAAACCAAACCCACTGCCATGAAGTCAGTTCTGACTCATAGTGATCCCCATAGGGTTTCCAAGGCTGTAAATCTTTATGGAAGTAGACTGCCTCATTTTTCTCCCATGGAGCAGCTGGTGGATTTGAACTACCAACCTTTGGTTAGCAACTGAATGCTTTTAACCACTACACCACCTGAGCTCCTTGGAAGCTGAGAAAGTGGAAGTGAAATTGGGATGGGAGTGGGGGTTCTGATGCCCTGCAACTTTTGCAAGACAGCAGAGCTTTTGTTTATCTTGGACCATACTGGTTTTCTTAGCACAACATTTGGCAAGTAATAAAAGCCAGAGCCAAACCCACTGCCATCAAATCGATTCTGATCCATAGGAATGCTACAGTAGAATTGCCCCATAGGGTTTCAGGTTTCCGAGGCTGTAAATCTTTATGGAAGCAGACTTGGCAAATAATAGACACTTAATAAATATTTGTTGAATGGATGAATTTGCAAATTATTTGCCTTTTGTTTATATTGTGGATGTTCATAATTAGAGAAACTGTTGGAGTTGACATTTGGAGTGGGGCAAACAGTGCGTGAAACATTCAGTACATTAATGAATGTTGTCCTCTTAAGACTTTGTTCCCTAAGCAACCTTATAGTTGTTGGGACTGGTGTCACAAATACTTTGATAGTGATAGTCCCCTATATTAAGGTGGTTGGTTTGTTTCCCATCCTTATGTTTTATGTAAAATACACAAAGTATGTAAAAGCATGTGCACAATCAAATAAATAGTTAAAAGGCAGATTCTTATGTAACCTCCCCCCAGCTTAAGAAATAAAACATTACTAGCAATACTAAAGCCTTCCTGTCCCATAACCCTCTCCAGTTCCAATCATCTCTCTCTCACATGTTGTTGTTGTTGTTATGTGCCGTCGAGTTGGACCCGACTCATAGCGACCCCTCCTTGGGTTTCCGAGGCAGTATCACTACGGAAGTAGATTGCCCCATCTTCATTCTAAGGAGTGGCTGGTGGGTTTGAACCGTCAGCCTTCTGGTTAGCAGTCAAGTGCCTTCTGGTTAGCAGTCAAGTGCCTTAGCCACTGTGCTACCAGAGCTCCCCTCTTTGGCATAGGTAACCGTTATCTTGACTTTGATGATGATAATTTCCTTATCTTTGTAATTTTACCATGTATTATGCACTCCTAAACTTTTCTGAGCTTGACATGATTGATATATTGTATGCATTCTTTGGGGTTTCACTTCATTTTTTCTATGCTGTGTTTATGAGATTGGTCTAGTGAGTAGCTGGTTTGTCCATATACTTTACTGAATAGAAGTTCATTTCATGAATTTTTACTTATTCTATGGTTGTTGACAACAACAACAACAACAAATGGTTGTTGAACATTTAATTTGTCACTAGGTTGTGGAGCTATTGTAAGCAATGCTGGTACAAACATTCCATGTCTCCTGGTGCACATGTACATACAGTTACATGGAATATAAACCTAGGAGTGCAATTGCCAGGTCATAGATTTTACGTATCTTTTATAGTACTAAATGTTGTCACCTATTTTCACGAAAGTATTGCTATCAGTGCTCTATGAGAGTTCTTGTTGCTCTGTTTCTACATAACACATGAGAGTTCCTGTTGTTCTATATTTTCTCCACCACTTGCTATTGCAAAATTTTAAATTGTTGTCAATCTAGTGGATATGTGATGGTATCTTATTACTGTTTTAATTTGCATTTCTCTAGTTACCAATGACCTTAGTATACTCTTTCTTTCCTTTTTTTATGAAAAGCATGCCCATCAGGTCTTTTGCTTATTTTTCTACTGAGTTGTCTTTTTCTTGTAATTTTTATGAGTTTTTAAAATATATTTTGTTCTGACTTTTTGTTGGTTATATTGGTTGCAAGCATCTTCTTTCACTTTTTTTTCTCTTCCTCCCTCCCTTCCTCCTCTCATTTTTTCTCTTTCCCTTTCTTTTTTCTCTTCGCCATCTGTAGTGTCTTCTTTTCTCCCTCTCTCCCTTTATGAATAGTGTTTTTTGTGTCTTATTCCTTGCATCTTGTGTCCCTTTTTGTATAATGCATATAGGGGTTCAATTTCATTTTCTCCTATATGAATAACCAGTTATCTAGCAATATATATTCTTATAGTATCCAGAAAAATACTGTTTTCCACTGTTACTTAGGTTAGTTTTCTTCCCTGCCTTCTTGAGTGCAGTTATGTTATTTACTTGTAATACAGCTAGATTCATTTGTCAGTGTTTAGATTACATTTTAAGGAGCCTAGTGGTGCAGTGGTTAAGCAGTTGGCTGCTAACTGAAAGGTTGGCAGTTCAAACCTACTAGCCACTCTGTGGGAGAAAGATGTGTCAGTCTGCTTCTGTAAAGATTACAGCCTTGGAAACTCTATGAGACAGTTCAGCTCTGTCCTGTAGGGTTGCTATGGGTTAGAATCGAACTTGACAGCAGTGGGTTTTGGATTTGTATATTATGTTTTGGGTTCCCCCACATCCTGGTTAACTTTAGTCTTTTTTTTTTCCTTTTTTGGATGTACGAAAAGTATGTGAAACATTGTGGTTCTCACACAAACATACAACATACACATTCTCGCAGAGACAGATAGTGACAGTTAACTCAGTGGGACACTATCTTATTTCGAATGATATGTTCTGTTTCTGTTCTGATCTGTTCATGCAAACTTCTGGGTTCTTCCACTAAATTGATTTCATGGCACACTAATGAGTGATGTACTATAGTTTGAAAAGCACTGGTTTAGAAAATCTGTGTGACAGCTCACCCTAAGATCACATGAAGGAAAGGTGGAGTTTTATATCGTGACAAAGGGAGAAGTGGTTGGCAGAGTTCTATAAATGCTTATTGATCATCTTCAAAGTTCTTGTTACTGGCTTTTCTATGGACTGCTTGCTCTTGAGTGTACCTTTAGGATGGGTACTTGGGGAGAGGCATGTTTGATTAAGTAGCATTGGGAGCAGCTGTGGAGGTGAGTCAGTGAGGGGGACTGGTAGCAGAGTGGTTGGAGGGATATTGGCATATGCCCAGAAGAGCTGTAACTCCAGAGGGGCTGGAGATGGAGAGATGCCAGACTGTAATCCTCGTGGTGTGTGGCTCTGGTTCTCTCATCAGCTCATAAAGAGAAACTCTGGTAGAGAGGCAGAGGGTTGAAGGTCTACTATAATGTGCATATTTATAGTTTTTAGTTCTTACTCTTGACTGAAAGTATTGGGGAACTTTTATAAGAGCATGAAGCACTGCCTACACAGTGCTTCAGTCAATGTCTTAATCTTGTACAGAATATGATAAAAGCTAAAACTCTAGTAAAGGGTATGGGTTGGTGTCACCAGTTCAAGCCACCCCTAAATGGTTCCATGGGAACTTTATGTGAGGGCTGCGGCTCTAGGATTTCCTTGTTCAGTCCACCATCCAAAATGTACAGTCTTAGTCTATGCTAGAAGTATAGTGGGACAGACAGGGCCCTATCCTTTATGGAGTTTGCCCTGTAGCACAGGAGCTCTGGTGGTGCAGTGTTTAAGGCGTTTAGCTGCTAACCTAACAGTCCACTTCGATCGACTTGATTCAGATTCATAGCAACCCCTGTAAATCTTTACGGAAGTACATTGCCTCATCTTTCTTCTGTGGAGCAGCTGCTGGGTTTGAACTGCAAACCTTCTGGTTAGTGGTCAAATGCCTTAGGCACTGAGCCTCCAGAGCTCTTTACCTAATGGTAGGTGGGAGAAATATGAGGCAGTCTGCTTCTGTAAAGATTTACAGGCTTGAAAACCCTATGGGGTAGTGTTACTCTGTCCTAATGGGTTACTATGAGTTGGGATTGGTTCAAATGGCAGTGGTTTTGATTTTGGTCCTCTAGGAGAGGGGAAGGAGATAGTGGATGGTGATATGTGTGATGAAGACAGTAATGCATGGTAATGAAAGAGTGGTATATCAGGATGATAGAGCTATTTTTTGATGAGGTGGTCATAGAAGGCATCTCTGAGTACATGACATTTGGATGGGATCTGAATTATGAGATTGTGCAAAGATCTAGGGAAACCTTCCTATTGTACAGTATTTGATATTGCTTGCACAGAGTCCAGTAATTTTATTTATAGCAGAAATGATTGGTTTGATTTATATAGCTCTTCATAGAGGGACTGGTTGCCTTTCAAAGTGAGAGGATGATGTTGTTCAAGCAGCTGCAGTGTGCTGCCAGCACAGGGGAAAATACTCTGTGGAGGGACTATGAGTGTATGGGTTTCCCTTTAAAATAGTTAAACTTTTAGGAGAGTCAAAATTCAGGGTGATTGAGCTTCCTTAAAGAGCACCTGAATAGGCAGACCTATAAAGTGAACAG